AGAGAGAGAGAGGAGCAGGAGAGGTTAGAGATACAGATGACAAGTACGCAGGGGGAGACGGAGAGGGATGGTCGTAGTGCGAGACGAACGGAGGCGGAAATACCATAGCGGGGTTGTTAAATGGCTTTGTTTGTTGGACACGTGGCAGTTTCTGAATTCATCCGACGTGTTTTTATCGAACTGTTTAAAATCTTAGAGAAAATGGGCCTTAAGGTCTGTACGCCCATTGGCTAGTAATGGGCTTTAGATCAGCCCATCGCTACATATATCTGAAACTTTTGGGACAAATAATATACGGTTATTTCATGCATTACAAAACAAATGACATCATTTTTTGTCTCACCCATTAAATCATTAGCCACAAAAACCTGATCAGATATCATTGAGCAATTAGCATTATAACGTTAGTTATTAGAAAATCACTTATTCTAAAACTAAGCACATTTAATTTTGGAGTTTTCCTGAGATACACAATAAAAAAGATAGATGCATTTTGTTGGTATGAATAGCTTAATCAATTCTTTTAAGTTATCTTTGATTGTGTAATCTCAAACCTACAAAACTCTTAGATCATTCTCCTTCCGATGCGTTCGAATCATTTCTACATCTTTCTGGCCTAACAGTACTCAAGAGCTGTTCATTGTCCCTGCCCACTGTATCGGACGATCACTAGCTTGCATCATCATCTCGGCATCGACTGTCACAAACCCATCAACTTCCGCTTGATTTGTAGTGGAAGAATATCGTCTTTGATCTTATATATATATTATTCCAAACATTCTCTTCTTCTTTTTAGCCTCCTGAATCTTGAATGCTCAATGGTAAATAAGGAATGACTTTCTTCCTCTCATATTCAATCATTCATCTTTGTCATATTTGATTAAAAATACACATTCGATTAATAATCGAATAAAAAAATAAATTATAACTTTAATCGAATCAAATTTAATATAAAAACTATTCAGTTTTTATTTATCTAAAACTAATTTGAACGGAATATAATTCAATAAAAAATAATAGAAAAAAATTGATTTTTTTAAAACAAGTATTTTAATCAATAAAAAATAATTTCAAAACGAACTTAAAATTAAATCAAACCAAATTGGAGATTAAAAAACAACTAACATTGATTTTTTTAAAACCAAAATAACGACCAACCCTAATGAGTACATGTGTGGGTATTTGAGGCTATTCCAAATCTTCTGGGTCTTTTGTGGAAAGTTCAATTTTCTAAAGGAGGGGGGGGGGGGGGAATTGCATTTTTAAAATTAAAAAACATT